TAATAATATATAATATAATATATATATATAATAAAGTATCTGTGTTAAAGTATACTAGTTAACTCCTTTCTGGCTCCAAACAGACGACATGTATCTTCTGCTGAGAGCCAGAATAGTTGTATGTCTGTTTTCATCTCATCAGTTGGTAGTGATTGAAAATAGAATTCAGGTATCATAATTAGCATCTATTCAAAAGTTGTGATTTGATTATCTTTGATTAGAGCACCAGCTGCCTAATTTTGGACTTGTTAAATTTTTTTTTTTTTTTTTTTTTAAATCTTGTCTTGCGCTCTCTCCCACTCTCTTTTTCTCGCTCTATCAAAAGCTTTCTCTGCTCTTTTTCCTGTATCCCTTCCTCTCCTATCTCTCCGTCTGTCTCAATCTTCCTCTCTCTCCCTCTTACTCTCACTATGTGGGCCTCTCTCTTCTTTCTCTTTATCTTCCTCTCACTTTTTCCTTCTCCCATCCTCCTGTCTCCTCCTAACTCTCTCTTTGCCCCCTCCTCCCTCTCTGTAAATAAAGATCCCAAGACTAATTAGCTCAAAATGCTTTCCAGAGACAAGTTATTTCCAGCAAGAAGATAGCAATCATACTTTGGAATGAGAATCACTTCTAACCGTCCCCCGCTCGACCACATGCTCCCCAGTGGTTGCCCATAATTACGAACCTAATACTGGTAATCTAAACCTCTGGCTAAACAGTCACATGATTTCATGCTTTGCTTCTCCAACATAAGCTTGTGATTCATTTTTACAGTATGTGTAATTCATTTCTCTCATGTCTGCATACAATAAGTGAAAGGTTATGCTCAGTTCAAGCAGGGATATTGCTTTTTAGAAGAATGCTTTCTAGATTTATTCTGAACTATTATAGTAAATGAAAGAATTCATGGATTATGATATTTTGGAAATTGTAATAAAAAATTATAATTCATCTCAAAATATACTAACAATATGATATAAAAAGAGAAAAACCGTCACATTAGATTTCATGCTTTGCTTTCTCATTATGAGCTTGTGTTTCAGGTTTACAGTATGTGTTATTCATTTCTCTCACGTCTGCATACAATAAATGAAAGGTTATGTTCAGTTCATACAAGGCTATTGATTTCTATGTGAAAATGACTTTATTGCTTCAATATCCAGTAAATAGAAATCTTTGTGAATTACAATTGCTTTTGTACTAAGAAGTTGCAAAGAAATTAAAAGCCATGTTGAAAATTTAAAGTATGTTTAATTTATTTCTGCATCCAAAAAACTAGAGATTATACTCATTTCATGCAAGGCAATTCCTTATGAGGAGAACAAAAAACCCTAATCTTTCTGCATGTATTCTAATTAGCAATTTTGCAGTTATAGAAAATATTTGACAATTATGACATGTGGGGATTAGAAAATTGTAAAGCAATCCTGAAATTTGACAGAAATTAAATTACTGTTATACTGTATTTATAGCATTTATAGCACAAACACATAAATACACATGTATGACCAAGAAGGTATCTGCAAAATCTCCAGAAAAGAAGAGACGATATGCTTGCACTCAAAATTTGAAATTTGGAAAGCAATCATTCTCATTTTACACTGCAGATATGATTTCACTCCTCTTGGGATTAATAAGTGATATATGAAAGCTCTCAAATCATTTCTCATAAAAGTACTGTCTCCTATATACAAACAAATAGAAGTATGAAGCATTTGAACAGATGACCAGTAATATATGAATTGAGGTATATATGTATTTTATCGAGATTGTATATCAAGACTTTTAGATGAGAGAATATTTTATAAAGGTCAAGTCAACATTTGTAATGAGTTAGAAAATGAAAGTAGAAAAATAAAGAGAAATAGAATGGCATTTATCTTTTGGTCAAGGTGTCTGTCTAGTTTATTTGACACTCCCTGTTAAAACAACATCCTTATCCTTTTGAAGTTCCTTGAACTTTTGACTTTCCATATTGTTTTCGATGTATTTGCTAACTTTTCTTGCTTTTTTCATGATGACTTTAACTGAAGCTGCATGATTTCCGGCCTCCAAGAATGGATTGTTTCAGTCGTCATGTTTTATCATGTTCCGACTCGCTGTGTTACTAGGGGTCATGTCCGCACTCAGCAGAAAAAAGAAACGTTAGTCGGAAACGTTATTGCTAATGTCGTAATTATGTGGTTAAGTTTATGTTGATGACAGGTTTTGAAAGTGTGATATTTCATGTAATTTTTGATAATCTGTCAGAATTTTTTTTACCAGTACATCCGCACTCTCTCCCTGATTCTTCTTAAAGGTAAAGACCAGTGATGGTCATGCGATTGCATTGTGAAAGAAACGTTGTGGAATCGATCAGAAAAGGTTGATCATCTAGTATCTAGCATCTGCAAGGTTCTGGAATCATCAAAATGATAAGAAATTTGGCCCATTCTTCGTAAAGTTACAAGCACTATACATAGAAAGATGTATATGGGACTACCCTATATCTCTCACAGACCATGAGAGAAACAAATTTACCAAATATATGAATTAGTTGGCGGTTTCCCGGCAAATTTTTTATCATCATGTATTAGTCAAAACATATTCTTTCACATGATTGGTGATGAGAGCTTCCATTTCATTTTTTGAAATAGGGGCGTTTCCAATACTGGCCTTTACCTTTAAACATGGTGAAAATAATTGCATATAAATTGAGTCATTCACACACTAGAAAAAAAAAGGTAAGATTTGAACTGTGATTCAAATCTTACACTTTCATTGCTCCTGTTTACACATAGGATCTGTGAAATCATTTCCCCTTTTCTACCATCTTTTTGCTCTGACCTTTGTTGTAACTTTGCGGGAATAAGTGCATAATTAGGATCACTAAAAACGGCAGAATTGTGGTCAAAGTAATACAAGAAAATTTCTGTGTTCACCCTAAAAAAATGCAAGATTCTGATCAGGATCCATCTTTTTAAAACTTCACAAATTGCTCTGTATTTTTTAACAAAGTACATGTAGGATAAAAATATTAGTAATATGTGATTTAAATTTTGAGGATTTTAAAAGTGCCTTCCATTTAAGAGATAATGGTATTTTTTTGATAGTCTGGCAAAACATCAATATATGAAGGTTCTAGCTAAAGTAAGGATGTTTTTGAATGAATAGGACCATAATAGAGTATATGCCTCAGGACTGATTACCAAGACTTAGTAGTTATTTAGATACAATATTAGGACGATTTGTAATACAAGCTGGTTACCATTTACTAAATCCTTATTTTACCCCAAGAGGAAAAGCGGATAAAAGACCACTTTCTTTTTGCTAGGTAGATTTTTTAGGATTTGTCGAAAGACAAAGGAAGGGAAATTCCCGAGCAGCCTCTCGTCTGGAAAACTTCTCCAATCCCTAACCAGTTAATGAACCATCTACCGACGACGTGCACTTTTAAGCGTAGGGAACAAATCTTCACCTCCCCCCCCCCCCCCCCGACGGATCAGGAAGTGGAAATTAGTAATCCGTCACGTTGCTTAGGATATCGGGTCTGACGTATCGTTAGACGCCTACCATTACTGGTGACCTGCTATCAGAAGCGTTGCAATGTTTTGATAAATAAACACGGCAGGATTATTGCATATTTAATAGTAGTCTGCTACTTGATCCTCTGGTGAGAGTATGATCGCGATACTCTCGGAGTCGTCATTTGCGGTGTTCTGCACCTCTCGTAGTCTGTGAATCATGGAATTGATAGTGAGCTCGCATCAATTACTATGCAACAGAAAAGCAGAACATTTGTTTTAACGAAAATATCCTTAATATAGCAGGGAGTGTTGACATTCATATAGATCCAGAAGTGTGGTTATACTGTGTGTAAATGTACATGACTTAACAACCCTCTTGCTCTTACCAGACGATACCATAGTTGTAAGGATATTTTCTGCTTTAGAGCCAGACGGGCGTCAACTTTTTTACCATAAAAATAAATGCCCTTTTTGTTCTCAACAGACAATTTTGGACTGTAATTTTGAGGTGGTACAAGTATCATAATGTAAATTCAGAATTTTAACAGACCAAAAAAAAAAAGGAATCCTTGTTAGTCAAAATGTGGGGTCTGGACTCTCCGGACTGTAGACTGCACATGTCACTTCTAATTTATAGATAATAATAGTGGGTTCTTGCAAAGCGTTCATGTCTGTCAGACTCGACACTCCTGGCGCTCCACATTATTTCCCCAGCTTCAGCATGGCTGCCTTTATGGCGCTCTGGCATTTCCAGGAATTAGTTCCTGCCAAGTACCCATTTACATCACCTGGGTCGAGTGTGGCAAATGTAGATTAATGTCTTGCCAAAGGACATTAGTACCAAGCAGGATTTAAATCAGGAGACGAATCCACTTGACCACAACACCTAGGTGCTCTTGACATAGCGATAGTAACTCTGGTGCAGGCTAAACGTGAAGTCTGTTAATTTTGTCAATTATGTCAAATTTTAGTCTGTGCTTAGAGACTAGTTCTATTTCGGAGCTGTAAGCGGATGTTCCTTCCCTGATTAATGATTATGCTTTCATTGAATGTTATGACAAGAAAGGATAACGAGATGTCAGCGATACTATGATCACCTCACAATTTAACTATGAAAATCAATACATTTAAAGGTACATTTTCAAGTCAAGTGTCATGTACTAAGTAGATTATAATAAGTGCAAGTTGTTTGTATCATAAAGAAGGCTAAGGAGGATTGAAATGTTATCGTATATTTCTTCTTTCAAATATTCTGAGATGTATTTGAGAGTTGATCAGCAGTGCTGGTTAACCCATTATTTCTATGAGCATAATTATCCTCTATAACTTAGAACCATAAGGATGTAGCCTAAATGATTTTACATGGAGTTAACACCCTTCTGGCTCTCTAAAGGTGATACATGCATACTTTTTATTGACCTCACAAATCAGTAATTCATTTACAGTCTTCTATGTTTGTTTGATGGTGACTAGACTAAAACAAATTGATCTCAATTTGTTTCCCATATATAGGTAAGAAGCTGGTTGAAACTATCAACAAGGATGCTGAGAAGAAGACTAGCAAGGATGACAAGGAGGGCAAAGGTTCAAGGTAAGAAAGAGAGGCAGGGAGGAAGAGCGAGAGAAGGAGTGATGATGGAGAAGGTTTGCACTGGTGTGAGAGGTGGAAGAAAGAAACAGAATGATGAGATTTTTGTTGTTGTAAGTTTGATAGCGAATGCGGGGATAGTACACTGTAAAAAAACACAAACATAACCTGTGATGAGTAGATGTATCAATAAAGCAGAGAGGAAGAGAAATTATTGATTCATCCAACATTTGTCAATCAGGCAATAGAAATGGACTTAGATGTCTGTATAGGCCTTTTCCATTAGCTGAATTAAATGCTATCTTGTGAAGATGTGGTCTTCGGTTTCATCAACCCCTGAAAATGTATTTAAAAAAGGAAGAGAAGAAGAACATTTCATGCATCACTTCATTCATCCATTAAAAAAAAGTATTAAAATAGATTTGAAAACATCAAACAAAAAAAGATATGTAAATAGGTTTTGTCAATTTGAGGATAACCTGTTTAAAATGTTGGAGACAACAATATTTTGTGCATCATTTCATCCATCCAAAATGCAATTCAGATTGTGTTGGTAATGAAATGATATAAGGTGCTGCCAGTTTAAGGATTATCTGGTTAGAAATTAATGAGTCATTAAAATCCATTTTATTCATGCTCTATATTAACATTAAATCTTTTTGATAGTATACAAATCCATGATCTCAGAATAATAATAGCCTTAAGTTTAATTCCCCTTCAGGTATACATGTACATTAGGAACAGATCTCTTTTCTCTGTCATTAGTTAATAGTCCATCTGTGCACACTGCTCTAACATTTTGAGAAACACTTGTCAAATATTGATAAACCCAGCCCACACATTCACTTCCAGATAGGCGATCGATGCGGAGGGTCCCTACTAAATATAAACTATTCATTAGAGATTATCAAGTATTGTTGCTAAGGGGGAGTCGCCATGCTAAGCATTCTGCGTCCTCCAAGGAAGGATGGATTTAATGATGTTGTCCTTATGTCCAATCAATTATTCAGCTCAGTACCTTTGTGGATTGATGGGATGTTTTTTTCTTCATAAAAACGGGATGACATTTTTATGGTCTGCGTTTTGCTGTCATGGAGGTATTGTTTACAAAAAAAGAAATGTTTTAGAGTAATTGCACCTGGCGGGGAAAGCTGTCTTTAAGCTAGCAATTTGTACATGATTTTAAATTAATTAAAATTTCATAATTACAATATTTCTCCATTAGTCAAGTGTATTCGCACTGACAAATTCATAGCGCGTTAATTGGTTGATGAGTTGAATATTTTAATCTATTCTAGTCCTAGTTTTCCTTGGATAATGGCTCAAAAACTTACATGAAAGTTGAAAAGTGAAGTAGCCCATTATTTCATCTGTTGAAAACTAGAAGGGTGTTTACTCATATATACTCTATTATAGATCTAATGCCCTTCTGGCTCTCAACAGAGGATTACCATCTTCACTGTGAATTAGCTCAAACAAGTTGTGATCGGGCTAATTGCTCGGGATCAAAACCAGTGGGCTATCCCAAAAAGTCAGGCTAATGGAAACAGCTCCGGGATCAAAATCAGTGGGCTATTGTAATCGCTGTTATTTTTGTGTGATTAATTTTTCGCGCTGAGCGACCCTAAAACATATTCATGGGTTCTTAAATTTGCGTTGCATGCAATGCAGCCCGTTCAAAACAGGCATAAGAAGTCATGCTTATATTTTTGCGAGTTCTAAAATTTGTGCTTGCTGATCTTAGCGCGATATCTGCGAAAAAAATTATGTAACTTGAATATTTCCGTGTATACAGTACTCCGAAAAGTCGGGCTAATGGTGACAGCTCCCTTAGTCTAGCCTCCCTGGCTGGGCTGATGAGCTCCTGGTGTTGGTGAAGAACATCCAGACCATGATTGATTCAGATGCCATCCTCGTCTCTATGTGCATCAATTCATGGCGACGGCGACGGCGACGTATCGTCATGTATTATTAAAGACAAGAGGGCAGGAGTGGTTAATCCACTAAAGAAAATGTAGCATTTTGTACGAAAGTCGCCAGGTCCAGGAGTGGATTTAGAACAACTTTCATTGGCATTCAGTGTAAGAGATTAGACTTATGATATTGGAAATGGCCTTTTATGCAATTTATGAAACATTCATTTTGAGGTGAAGACACTCAAAATTTCAATGCTGAAAAGGATTAATTTCCATTTTGTTATAGTTTCCTCAGTCAGTGACAATTTTAATTTAATTTTATTAAATTAGAGACTAATCCCAGCCAAGAGCCTTGAAGGTGAGTTGCCAAACAGCTAAGATCTGCTCTTTAAATCTCTTTACCGCTAATAAGCCGACTTTTTGCTAATTTTCTGTAATCGAAGGAGACGTTTCTTTGGAGAAGCTGAAAGTGTTGTTTTTATTGGAATGTAGCCAATGGGTCAAGTAATGACGTTGGATCTGCACCCTTAAAAAAAATAAACCCAATTGGGGCAAAAAAGTAAGTGCTATCTGCCTTTTAAAGGAAAATCCAACCTTTATCAACAACTAATCTATAAAAAAAAGCAGAAAAATCAGAGAAGCAGACTGTTGATTTTTTTATACTAAAATCAAACAAAAAATGAGATGGTGTGAATTTTTAAAAATTGTAAGTGCTATACCTATGGGTACTTTAAATTGGCTGTTAAGTCAGTGTGCTGGACACCATCCCATTTGTATAAAAAAAACAAAATGGTTGAAATTTCAATTTTTAAAAATGTAAGACTCTGGAGGGTTCTTTCTATTTTAAAGAAATAATAATGCAGTGCCCAGAGGGAGAAGGCGCTGTGGAGAAAAAATAGAAATGAAAGATATTTTTGTCAAGAGAAATAAAGAGTTGTCTTTAACTACGTCACAAGCCTCTGACCGAATTGCCAATTTTGGGATTTGCATACCGGTGTAAAGTAGTGATTTCAGATTTCACACATTCATAACTTTCTTAATATTTCTCAAATTTAGTTCAAACTTTTCAAAACAATTTCTATTCCTTGTATCTCTCTGCTTTCATACTGAAATGAACCCATGACCGAGGTTGGATTGGCCTTTAACTAGAACCTTGGATAGGAAAACTGCATCTGTTGTTTCAGAGTGGATGTGACATGCTCGGAGGCTTCGGCATCAAATTTCTGTCATCGCCCACTTGTTGTGAGGCTTTAGGAAGAATCATGCCTAATTTTTCCCTGGAGAGTATAGGCTGTTGTCTTTAAGTGGAATGTTTCGTTGTAAAGGGACATAAAAAACAATGTGTCATTGATATGTATCAAGCCTTCTAGGAAGGTTGCACCACAACCTTCATTAGGATAGGGCTAGAGGTTTCATCAAAATATGGAAGGAACATGATATTCCTTTTTGCTTAATTTCTGGCAGAGTGGGAGAATTCAAAGGTACTAATTATGAAACATCTTGATGTGGTTTGAAAAATTGGTTTATCTGTTTATTAATTTGGGTGATGAAAAGATGAAGGGAAAGACAGAAAGAGAAATAGAGAGAGAGAGAGACACAGAGAGAGAGAGAGAGAGACAGAGAGAGACAGAGCGAAAGAGATAATTAGAAAAAAGAGATAGAGAAAGAGATAGAGAAAGAGAATGATAGAGGGAGACAGAGAGAGAGAGAGAGAAAGAAAGATAATTAGAAAGAAAGAGAAAGAGAATGACAAAGAATGATATATATATATATGTATATATAGAGAGAGAGAGACGTATAGAGAGAGAAAAAGAGAGAATGAATGCATAAACATGAATAAAAATAGAACATAAAAATAAAAGAGCAGAGAGAAATCAAACAAAAAGGACAGACACTCAGGGATATATAAAGGGATATATAAAGAGATATAGATTCTTTTGAAAAATAGATATATAATGCCAAGGTCATAGTAGAATTGACGATAGTTAAATTGCAATACATGTGATAAAGATCATACAGCCTGCAATAAACGGGCAAAATGGGGATGTGAGGAAGCACGAAATCAAGATGCTATTCACATAACAGACACGAGAGGATCACCTTCTACACAAGCTAATGGCAAAAAGGTTGTGTGTATAGATTTTCAGGAGGAAAGTCCCTCTACACATTTCTTTGTCCATAATGTGAATTGAGAGATAGAGAAGGATGATCGCTGTATTTAGGTTAGGCAGGCGCTGGTATAAAAAATCTATCTTGTCTCAATATGGAGTGAAAGGGTATATCAATTTAAGAGCAGCTCTTTCGGTTGATTGCCTAAAATGTAGCTACTTTGTTTACAGCTTAAACAAAGATTGATGCTATAACCTGTAGTGTTCATGATTATTTGTACCATATTGAATCATGAGAACAAATTTATTTTGAATTCATCCTTCATTTGTAAAGATGTTGCTGGCGTGCTTGCTGAAAGCTGTTTTATAACATACGTATTCATTAATTAGGAGGGCTGTGATGTAATAAGGGTAATTTTTTTTTGTGTTGAAATACTCTGGACAGAAAACAACATTTCTACAAGTAGGGCAAAACAGCAATATTGTATTTATGTTCAGGGTACTATTAAACATATGACAGTTAAATAAAGATGGTGGAATTATCATTGTATTTAAGAAATCCTCAAAAAGACAGTTTTGGAAATTTCAAGGAAGGGAAAGTTAACATAAATGTTAAATGAGGAGTTAGCCATATTTGTTCTATATTTTGTTGATCTGTTTTGTTTAATATTCCCAATGTCTAAGTAGCTTAAATAATACAATTAAATGCATGGGGGCCAGGATGATTTCCATCCATAGTGATTGAAAAGAAAGGGGAAAAGAAAAACTTCCTGTAGGTTGCGATGCATGGAATTGATAAACTCTGTATATGACTTTAGAATAGACCTTAAAAAATATTTTTCTTTTTTTATCCAGCATCAGTTCATCTCAGTTCAGTTCAGTTTATTATATTTTTGCACGGCACCGACTTCAGCCAAAGGCTCTTCTTCCGCAGGTCCGTGTTTATTCTCTCTTCTTTCTTTAAAAAAAAGGGAAAAAATGTAGGTTGAGGGGTGAGAATGCTCTCCTGGCTTTCACAAGCTGATAAAGGGTTAGAGAGGATGGAGCTTTTGTGTATGGTACGGCGCATTAGGAGATATCAAGTTGATCTTGAACACATATCCCCCAGAGCAGAAAACGAGAAATTTACATTTTATTGATCTCTAGGTGCCAGCAGTGAAGGAGCTAAGAATGCTCTGAATGTTTTGGGATGTGTGCATTACAGGGAGAATGTCAATATTAGAGAGGGGCTGTTCAGACTCTAGAGATAATCATGTTTTGGTAGAAACTGTGAAGGAACTAAGAATGTACTATATGTTTGTGGATCTTGCATTGAAAGGTGAAGGAGCTAAGAATGCTCTGAATTTGTTTGGATGTGTGCATTACAGGGAGAATGTCAATATCAGAGAGGGGCTGTTCCGACTCGGGAGATAATCATGTCTTGGTATAAACCGTGAAGGAGCTAAGAATGCTCTGAATGTTATTGGATATGTGCATTACAAGGAGAATGTCAATATCAGAGAGGGGCTGTTCAGACTCGGGAGATAATCATGTCTTGGTATAAACCATGAAGGAGCCAAGAATGCTTTGAATGTTTTTGGATGTGTGCATT